GTCATCTCAAGGTACTTTATGGTTCACCAGATCATACAGTCAGATTGATTCAAAGTTTTCCATTTAAGGAAAACCAGTTGATTGCATCGACTCATTGACTCCAAGGAAATCCCTCACACCAAGCATGCTTGTAGCAACAGTGGAGAGGAAAAACTCCCTTTTAACAGGAATAAACCTCCAGCAGACACAGACTCAGTGTGAACGACCATCTGCTGAGGATGACTGGGGTTCAAGGAGACCTTAAAAAAAAAAAAAAAAAGATAATTTCTTAAAAGTTAAATGCATTCAAGCTGCATGACATCGTGAAACAGCAACAGAATAACATTGATAAAGCAGCTTTTCAGATTAAATACCTCAAGAACAACCAGAAAACATGTATACAGTTCCATCTGTTTATTGATTAACTATAAAATATTTACTAAAACAATTTCAAAGGAACACTGATAAATGTGGTTGCCGTCTGTAAAAAAAAAAAAAAAGAAAAAAAAAACAGTTCCTTACACACTTAGTATAGTGACAATATATGTAGCTTCAGATTTCTCTCTAAAATGTATTCATTTTGCATTTTTACAAGATTAGACAAAGTATATTCTGATAGTTTTCTTCCCTCGACAGTGAAGGATCATTTACAAAACTTAGATGATTCTTCTGTTTATTCTCAAAATAATCATTTCTCTGTAACAGGACAATAACGATACTGAAGGAACAGCAGACGAAGAACCAGCCTCCAGTCCACCTCTCTCTCTCTCTTTCTCTCTCATACTCTTGTTTGCTCGTTCTTCCATTTCTTTCTTTCTAGCAGCTAGCTCCCTGTGCCCATCAGCAGTATTGCTTGAGAGGCGTGGACGATTGTTCAGAAAGGGGAAGCAAGACGGGGAGGATGGATGACAAAAAAAAAAGCAAAACTAAGCACAGCAAAAATAACAATTACATAAAAAAAGATTATAAAAACAAACTAAAACGCAACGATAACATATATATATATATATAAATCTGTTTCTTAAAACATGAAACAAAATCAAGCGTAGTGGAGAATAAAAGTATTTTAAGTGTCAGACCCTGTTTAGGCTGGAGACTGGGCTTTAAATGGAGATAAAAAGGGCAAATAATGAGCTTGAAAAGGCAACAACACACCTGGAAAAGGGAATTCCAGGCTGTATAGGTATGTGTGTTATCAGGAGATAAGACAAAGATGTCTTATTGGCCTTTTTACACACAGACATATGGAAAAAAGTGCTTCAGCAGCTCCAGGTGGGAACAAACATTCATAACGGGCACTTTATAATTGTTCACCCTGCAAACGACCTGTGGATCCGTGACGCTTGGATACCAAAAAATAAGAAATAAATGGGATCCATCTGCGCCGCCTGTTGCTCAAACGGACTTAAGAGCAGCATAAAAATTGGGAGTAGGGGGGCTTTAGATGATCATTTAAAAATAAAACAGCAAATGGAGTCACTCTGTACCTGGATTTAACCATTTTAAGCACAAATAGATTAGCAGCACATTTTAAAATACTTTACGGGGAGGCCGTCATGTCTGGATTATCTATAAAAAACAAAAACAATGTGCAGTGAAACGCTTTAACAGGAAGATAAAAGCACAGCGGTTATTCCTCTGAACATTCTGCAGCCAGAGAAGGCGAATAAAAATAAAATGGACGAATGTAGAGAAAAAAAATAACTAAAAGTCTCAAGAGAGAGTAGAAAATATTAAAACTTATTGAATATCAACAAGACAGTCTTCAAACTCTGACAGCGCAGAGAGAAAGTAAGGAGTAGGCATGGGTCGCTTTACGGTAACCGGGAATACAAAGGTTTACAAAAGATAAAAATCACTTCCTACCACGGTTTAGAGTCATTTTAAGGAGAGAAAAAGTGCTGGTGTGACTTTCTGTGGCAGCTGCACACCACTGGTAAGCTGGCTGAA